TACAGGAATTGTTTCAACGTGTCGATTAGTTAAGAAATTGATTCTTGGTGTTACTGTATCAAAGTTATTAGTATCAAGGTCTGGAACTAAATAACTTATTAAATATAAAAAGCGAATTTTGTGATTTTTTTACGTCATTTCCTCGACGGATTTATCCCGGCGTTTAAAACCACCTCGCTCATATATAATTTTAACCCTGTACACTTGGCTCCAATATTATTTTTGACTTTCGATAAGTATGTTTCTATATAAACACTAGGCATATGATTTAATGAATTATTTTTTAACGTATATTGAGTTTGATGAGGAGGCATGAACATGAAAACCGCTAAATTTTCTTCTCAGGCTGGCCGGGCCGGTTTGCTTTGATTTGAATATCCGGCTAAGAAGAAAGTTTTTCCGGTTTTCATTTATGATTCCCAAGGCGGATGGAGCTGCATGAGGTGACGGGTTAGCGCTGTGTTTTCAACTACAGAGACCGGGTAAAATAAAGTGCGATCAATTTGGATTGTGAATTGCACTCGTCTGTTCCATCGATTGCTTGTAAAATGCCCGGTATTCAGACATGTGAGTGATTAATACGGCAAAATCATTTGATATTGATCTCAGCAGAGCACAAACAGTATATGCCTGTGTTGCTCTGCACTTTCAAGTTCAACTGAAGGGTTCTTGTTTCCCAATACTTTGATGACTATATTATATGATTGTTTCAAAAATTTTTGATTTCTGAGTGTGATACCAGATAAAAAACTTTCCGGTCTCATTTGATAGTTGGAAAATTATTTTGCGGATTATTTTTTGAAAGTCGTGTTGCTTTAAAGAAAAAAAAGCGGAAGCCACCACAGGCATCGTCGGGCTGAAGACAAAATTGCAATTTTCTACATTCATTTTTGATGATCGCAGTGAACGAACGTTTCTGCCGCTAGCTTAAGAAGAATTTCAACTTTTCTTTCAGCACAGTTAAAGTTTTCCCGTAATTCCGAGATAACAATGGAAGCTTCACCTTTGATTATGAGACTTCAGTGAAAGTTCCTTTGCCATTCTGAGACCACAGATTAAGTTTCCATTTTATTTTGAGGCGCAAAAGATTTCCCCTTCACTTGATTCTGAGAGCGTAAATAAGTACAATTCCGGAACGATTTACTTTCATCAAGAAAGTAATCCTTATCCTCTAACTCATGAGGCGTTTACAGCGTCAGGCTTGAGTGACTCACCCCTTGGTGCGTTGCAATGCATTAATGACTTACACTCACTTGCTGAATTTGTCGTTCGTTTCTAAATTAATTTTAACCGGTACTCTCTATGTGCTCCCGGATCCGCCATTTGAGTGCTAGGCGTACAAGTTTTTTTAATCTGTATTACGACTGACAACTCAATTTCGAAACTTGGGCCTAAAGAATAAACAGGAAGACGATAAGGCACACTATTATGGAAGTTTCTGTTCATTAGAACAAAGAAATAATTGTTTCTGTTGTTATCTTGAGTTTCTTATGTGTTTATTGTGACAAGTAAACTGGCTTTAAAATCACCAAGTAATTTGTTTGGAACTCACGCGGTTAATAGCGAGGAATAAGTGACCGACCGTTATATTCAGTGACATATTTAGTGTGTTTAAAATCACCACGTAATTTGTTCTGACCTCACACGGTTAATAATGAGGAATAAGACTGACCGTTATATTCAATGACTTATTTAGTGTGTTTGAAATCACCACGCAATTTGTTCTGACCTCACACGGTTAATAATGAAGAATAAGACTGACCGTTATAATTATGCGTGATTTGTTTGATGTGTGTCACGTTGTTTGATTAAGCTTATTCATCGACTAGATAAGTAAGGTGCGTGGCCTTCGCTGTATTGAACGAACAAGTGTACGATGTCCTCGATTTATATTTCTCGACTATAATGCGCTTCAGTTTATACGTCGTTGTTAGGTTGTTGCAATAATGTCTGTTATAATATATTGCGTTAAATAAAGCCATCGCGTTAACACTATTATTGCTGATTTATGAAATAATTTTGCTGGCTTAAGTAATGAATTGATCGATTTTTAATTAAGTTACGTAGAATAATTCAACGCGTTCGTTAACACTTGGAAAATTATGGACATTTGTTCTCCTAATAAATTGAACATATGAACATATTGAACATATGAAAATCTTGTTTTTGTTTCAATTTTTTATATGCATATCTTGCATCGCCTCTTTGACCTGCATGGTATAGTACGTGGGTGCGACTTATTTTTACCGAACGCAATCTACGCATGAATGACACTTGAGCGTTGCGTCTACATGCTCCTGCAGGCGCGTTGCTCAATAACTTCTCGAGAGGAAGGCGCCTTGCTAGGCTACCGCAAAGTCGGCATTTATCAAGCAGTGCGGGGCAGAATTGATTATTTTATTTATTATTATTATATTTAAAATTATATCAATTTATTCTACTTTATTTTAGTCGTTGATATTAAGAAGACGTGTACAGTAGTTAACTTGATGAAAACGACCTAATCTCTTTTAAGATCGTTAGTTATTTACGGCCACCGCTATCGAAATTCAACTCTGAACGAATGTTTCCTTTACTCTGTGTATGATGAGAGCCCTCTAGCCTAACTCATTGAAGAACAATGCGCTTAAATTCAAATGCATCAAAATTAGAAAATTTTTAACTTCGACTTACAAGCCATTAATCCAATAATGAATTAGTGAAGTAAATTATTTTATTTACATGACGTTTATATAAATTATACCCAATTATACACAACGTTTGCACAAATCTCAGTTGAAAATGGAGCGATTGTACTTTCATTACATCATTACTAACCATTCTTTGCTATCAGCGTATTCCTTATGCGTACAAAAAAAAGTCTCTCAATTCAGTCTGATTTTTGTTATATCTGCACTCGGTAAGTTAACAGAACATTGGAAACTCGCCGAACCTTGGGGAAACTTTTATTCACTGAAGGGGTGCTAACCTCAGGACTCTGTTGCTACGATTGCCCTGACTTGATAGCTGACATTAGCACACTTCCATTGCATGCTAATTCTCTTTTTATTTGTTTTGATATTCTCAATACAGTCACGGCACTCATTTCAGTGGAAATTTTATAGGTGTTGCCGTGCCTGGTTTATAATTAATGTATCGTTAAGTTAATGTGTATTTTTGACATTTACGTGTTATAATACTATACATTTCGAAATTTTTCCTTTTCATTTTCAGAACAGCTAATTCTCAATTGTGATTCTTCTTTCTTGATAATACATCAGCTTGATTCTAATGAATGAAAGCGCTGTAAACGCACGATTCTTCTGAAGAATTTTCATTCAACCTAGCAGCATTTTGCGTTTTGTTTAGCCAGGTCATCATCCAGAGAAAAACCTTCAATTCCGCAAGGTAAAATAACGACATGAAAATTACTAACTTAGTTAAATTGTTGCGTATGAAATGTTGATGAATTGAATGAAGCTAGCCTACATCCCTGTTGTCTGATTCATATGTCTAAGCATTTCAGTGGGCATTACAGGTATAACGAAGCATGTCGATGATGTTCTCAAGTAGCCGTGAAGAATGAGCTCACAATATATTTTTCTCACGGATAATGTCTTTTTATAATATTTGGATCTCAATTCTTGTTAACTTTCATTTCGAAATAAAATCACTCACAGATTTCGCGAGTTTAATCGAATATGAATCTATAGTTACCTATTAATGTGCGTTGTTGGCAACTTCTAACTACATTATTGCACGAAGCTTTATAACATTCAGTTTCCTATTGCTCCTAATTCACCAGTAATGTACTGAATATTTATGACATCGTTAGATCCTGAATCTTCTGGCTCTCTGTCCCTCCGACCAAAGATCGAACTGCATGGTATTCGAACGCGGAGATAAGTCATCTTCTATAGTTATCACTAACCAGACTCCTACTTTTATAATCCCATATCATTTCATCGTTGCATTGTTGGTTTTATGTAATAATGCTGTGGAATATTTCTACAGCGGTTTTCAGATAGGGCACGATTATTGGAAGAGCAAATTGACTAGAGTGCGTGTCACTTATCTCGATGTAAGTCGCGGTGCAGTTCCGTTCTTATCGACCGCAATAAAAGCTTTATTTATGTGCCTTGATTTCTCTCGGACTTGTATGAAGCATCAAGCTAAACAAGATAATATTTCAAGGGACAAAAAATATCCATGACACGCGTTTCACTCTTATCATTGTATATTGAGGATCATTGCGTTGTATCTTAGATTATAAAAAGAGACCATGTTTACTTCACGACCTCTTGCGTTAGTTGGCCTCTGAATAACCTTTCAATTCATTGTAAAAGTAATTGCTAACTGGCATTACTTGTCTTCTTCAATTTAGAAAAGGAACTGTTTTAATAATGAATGTATATGGATATGATCTCAGAAACTACGTGAAGTAAATGCTAAGTCATACGTGGTGTGCAGCTCTTTCGCCTTCAGGACCTTAATTAAGGGCTGAAGATTTCCTGCCTTTTAAGCAACGGGTATTGTTATTTATTGAAGTTCGGCTAAAAATATCTACAACTGTAGTTTCTTAGAAAAAGTTGTGATTCTTTGTATCGGCAAAGGAGATGAGCTTAATTTGATTTGAAGATGTCATGCAAATATTCCTATCGATATTGAGGCTTACCTCAAATTGAATAGTCAAAAAAGGTATTTAAAGAAGGTATAGCTGATTCCCCATATCAGAGCTGATATCGCGAGGTTGCATATTATTAGATACCGCCTAGTTCCGGTTTTGGGCATAAACGCCATTACATGAAAGCTTGCAGCCTTGCTTCCTTGGAAGTAGAGCAAATTGAATTTTCAGAACAATGAATGTGTTAAATATTTACATTTCTTTTTGCACGAACCACCCATACGCGCTGGGTCAAACTGTGCCAAGATGACCTACACGAGAGTCAGCAAGTGCATCGCTATTTACACAAAATGTCACTCATGTCTCTGAGTGTAGTCTAACAGTTATTATCTTGCAGGGCGAGCACGAGTGTTGGACTGCTTGGCCCCGTGGTTGTGCCTCAGTCCCCCCCGATCCCTGGGGTCTGCAGGCCCTCCTCATCCTGCCCTGCACAACCCCGCCGGAGTGGTGGCAGGTGGCGGTGGTGGCTGGCTGACGCCACCTCTCCGCCATCACACTAACTCACAGAGCGGCGGCGGCGGCACCGCGTCGTCCTCCTCGTCTGCCAACGCTAATAATGTGCCCGGTGCCTCCAGCTCTGCGCACTCCACGCACACAAACATGGTCAAGACGTTCCAGGTCAGCTCTACACATCTTATACTGATTATAATATTCATCATTGCAATCGCTCCCAATCCTCGTTATATTAATAGCTCTCAGTTATATTGCTATATTATCACAACTTTTTTAATTTTTCTAATATCTTTAATCTGTGTTGATTGACCTTCGATTATCTCACATTTTCAAATTATATTAATATATTTAATTTACATTGCTTCTCTCATCGTACATCTTCTTACCGATACCGATACTGTATATTAAATCGCCTTATCACATATTCAAACAAAGATTATATTCTATTAATATTATCAATTAACAATATAGTTATATATTATATTTCGAAGGGATCGCTAAGTCTTTTATGACATATCAAGTGTTTAAACTAAAATAGTTTGCTTCTTGTGCCTGCGAATTTAATTTGATTGACTCCTAGCGCGGCATCAGACGAGCAAAATACATTCAGTGTTTCGTTGGCTTGCCTCTTATTTTCCTATCGTAACTCGTTTACCACCAATCATGAATCATTTTTAATCATATCATTTAAATAGCCATTTATTCAGATCATGGGAGAGGTTCAGTATTGTATTATAACCAATTATTAATGTAAATTTGTACAAAGCATATATATGCACGACTAAGTTGCAATATATTGTACTGTTTACAGGCTTACCTCCCCTCGTGTCACCGCACGTACTCCTGCATACACTGCCGCGCTCATCTCGCCAACCACGACGAGCTTATATCTAAGGTATATGACTTTCATTACTCATTATAACTATGAGCTTAATTATTCAATAACATATACGTGCACTACCATCCGCCTGATTAATTCTCTGTATGTACTAGTAGATAGAAATACGGTAATTTTTCTATTAATATGTCTGAAATTTACACATTTTATAAGTATTTAATACACGAACACCGATATGTGAGTGTTTTAGGACGTGCTTCTTTTTATCATATTAAAAATTGAGGTATATAAGTTTAATTAACAGAGTTGGCCATAATATTTAATTGAACTTCACGTATGGCGTGGTGCTCAGTTGTGTAGGTATAGCTTGGATATTTGTTTCAAATTTATGGGTTCTTCCGTAACCGATGACTTAAGCTGTCAAAAAACGTGTACAGTTGCTTCGAATGTTGTTATTTTCTGTTGACGAACAAAATTCTGTGAAGTCGAGATTTGTGGATTGAAAGTTTTCAAATAATTTGGCACTTATAAGGTTTTTTTTTGTAAGCGTTAAGTGAACTTTAGTCCAAGTTATGGTTCCGAAGCTAAATTATGAATGGAGTCATGGTTGCAAAGCTGTATTATGAACCATGTTATTACTGCAAAATGATTGCACTAAAGTTTTTATTTATTTTATCAGGACTTCTTACACTTCATTAGTAACTGAATTGTTTGAATTAGACAAAACTTATGCTCCTTAGGTTAACCTTTGAAAAAGTAATTTCTTCGTTTCCGTTTAACACGCAAAAATCTTTAGTAATGTCTTTCAAAACTATAATTTTGATGTTCTTATACTGTTCATTATTTTACAGTCGTTTCAAGGCAGCCAAGGGCGAGCGTATTTATTTAATTCCGTGTAAGTATTCGTAAAATTTTACAATTATTAATCTTAGGATGAGGCCAGTTCTCTTTTTTTTCCTTTCACAAGAATTATGGAGTTTTAACTTAAATTCATTATTTGAAGTTTTTATTGCGTGTCGAGCAATTTTCTCTCTTGCCAAATGAAATATTTTGAATTCAAAATGCCGGTTTTATTTGATGGTCAAACTAACATTATCCGCGCATTGGTTATACTCGTAATTTCTGTTCCGCTTGATCGAATATATCGAGCTTAAATTCCCTAATCTAACTTATCAAATCATTATTAAGACAAGTTCCTCAATACTGAGTGTCGCAAGTGCTCAGCTACAGAGATTGTGTTATGCGCGCGTGATGAGTTTACAGAATCAAGTTCAAACTCCATTACATCAAATTTCTATACTTGAATTAACTGCACGGTTGATATACAGCTTCTGGATATTGAAGGCAACCGTGTTCCTAAATTTGTTCCTTTGAATCCTTACTTGTGTATGCATGGGTGTATATTTTGTGTACGTGCAATTTCTTTGTATTTGAAAAACATTTCGGCCGTTTAATATAAAAAATATCTTCCTATAGTTGAGAGTAGTGCTGCCTCGCTGTAATATTATGAAATTTTAACCAAACTTGGTGGTTTGGTCGCTAGGGTCAACGTTGGTTGCGGGCCAGCGGAGGAGCGCGTGTTGCTTACAGGACTACACGCCGTGGCCGACATCTACTGCAAGTGCTGCGAGAACACGCTCGGCTGGAAATATGTGAGGCGTGTGAGGCGTGTGGGGCGTATGGGGCGTGTGAGGCGTCTGGGGCGTGTGAGGTGTGAAGAGCTTGTAAGGCATCTGGAGCGTGTGAGGCGTGTGGGACGTGTGAGGCGTCTGGAGCGTGTGAGGCGTCTGGAGCGTGTGAGGCGTCTGGAGCGTGTGAGGCGTGTGGGGCGTGTGAGGCGTCTGGGGCGTGTGAGGCGTCTGGGGCGTGTGAGGTGTGAAGAGCTTGTAAGGCATCTGGAGCGTGTGAGGCGTGTGGGGCGTGTGTTGGGGCGTGTGAGGCGTCTGGGGCGTGTGAGGCGTGTGAGGCGTCTGGGGCGTGTGAGGCGTCTGGAGCGTGTGAGGCGTCTGGAGCGTGTGAGGCGTCTGGAGCGTGCGAGGCATGTGAGGCGTATATCACCATGATATGTATACCAAATATTCTCATTCCACTGGCAGCATTGGTGTAGTTCTCACCAACTGCCGCTGTCTGCTATCATGATACAAATAATTTGCAAGGTTTATAGTTTAAAGTGGATATTTTGAGAAAGTATGTATAGAAAATTCTAACGTTTGTTTATTTTTCAGGAGCACGCTTTCGAAAACAGCCAGAAGTATAAGGAGGGTAAATTCATCATAGAATTGGCACACATGATCAAAGATAACGGCTGGGACTGAGACTTCAGAGCGTAATTCTCCGCTCAGTTCTAATGTGGGCGCGAGAGAAGAACTGGCACATGAGAAGACATTTTCATACGAAGAAGTCGAGTGATAACTTTGAATTAAACCTTATAGACTGGATTAGGATTGTGTTTTGGAAAATCAAGTAGACATGGATTGATTATTTCTACGCACTATTATCAAAATAACCCCCATTACTTTATCATCATTCAGTATATTGAGTTCCTTGTAACGAACATGGAGACTCAGGCTATTTGGTTGCGCTGCGAAGCTTACAAGAGGTCGATGTGATGTATGGGTTACGGTGTCGCTTGAAACTTGGTCCTTTTAATTCCTTTTTTGTGTCGATGTTTTTATATATTTGGGTGCAGCGGGGACTTTGGCTGTAGCTTCATGGCGAGAAAGAATTTGAAGATTCTTGTGTAGTTGCAATTTCAAGCATCGTTACCCCATCATATCTCATTTCTTAGCCAAGTCCGGCCTGATTTTATTTCAGAGTTTAGCTCTAAAAGTTTTTATGTCATTGGGCAAAATTTCCGGATTATAATTGAGTTTTCCGCGTGAAAACATCAATAATGCGCTACTTGTTTGCCTGATGTTTTATTTGTAAAGAAGTAACGTCTCTGCATTGTCTTATATTTTAGATTGAGGCTGTAGCATCCATGTATTTTCATCGACACGAAGTCGAATCGTTTTAGCATATCTAAATTCATTCATCCACTTTTTATTTTAGTAATAGTTCTGTGAACTATTTCAGTCCGCAATTGAGGAAACTTGGCTATGCTATAATGATGGACTGATGTGCTTCAATCGCTCGCAGGAGTCGTCAGCTAACCGAGTCTAGTGTGTGATAAAAAGCTCTGCATTTTGAGTGAGTGCTCACTGAGCGCTTTATTGTTCTCAACGTTGGAAAATTTCCTAGCGGAAGATTTTCGATCAATCTGTGATGTTTAGATTTATAGGCTACAGTCAACAATAGACTTTCTCTATGTTCCGACGCCTTGGCCTTAATATGTTTACTTACGCTGCCACTTTTAGTGATGGACTGTTCAAGAACATTTTATGTCTGCGCTGACGGGATCGTTTCATCGACGCTGTGTGTTTTGTTTTTGTCAGCTGCTAGGTATATTGTGTACTGTTTTTGTTCTTAACTCTCGATGCTGAAGGCAGTAAAATTTTGTATTGTGATCATTGCATTGGTCGTGGATATGTTTTTAAATGTCCAAGCGTAGTGAGGGAACATGTGAATGAGAAATTAGGTTTCATTAGTGGACGCAAATTTCGATGTAATTGATGTCGATTATGTATTCTGCAAAGAACATGTGTGAATCTCTGAAGTGCTCAAATTTATTTAAATTCTGAATTCTTTGCGCTTGGAACTTTCATTGGAAAAATAGTTCAACCGAGAGCTTCATCTGTCTCTCTTCAGTTTAATCACCGTTTTTTATAGACATTATATTGTGTTCCTGATGAATTATCAGAACGCGTTGCATCTTTTAATTCATTTTCTACCAAGCGAACTCATGCTTTGGGGTATTGCTCTGCTCCGGTATTCTTCGTGAAAAAATTGTTATTCCCTGAACCGCTGCGAGTGTGGAAGTGTGTTTACAATGTAGCTGCTGAGCTGTTGTATTAGTAGATCTGTTTACTCACTGCGGTATATTTGTGTAGAATTTCTTGCATGTGTAACCTTGTGACCTAGTTTCGTTTGCAGCCTTTACTCACGATTGTGTGGAATTAGTGGCTCTGATTGATTAACTTTTCAAAATATTTTTGAGCTTAGGCGAAATTCCGTGCTATACGAAATCGAACTTCAGTTCGAAAAACTTGCCGCAATTCCCTGTTATCATATTCGACTTTATTTCGAACGAACTTTTCTTATCTGTAATACCAGCTGCTTTTTGATTGGAAGATTTACTTCAGCATATCAATGTTCTAGGTAAAATTCTGTTATTTCTCTTAGGACATCTATCACGAAATTTTTATTTCATAACAACAATTATTGAATTAAAAAACTCAAATTGAAGTACGTTGAACGCAGGTTCTGCTGCAAAAGTTTAATCACGACTGGCGTTTTTTGAACGAACATTTATTGAGCTAAGGCCAGGTCGGGAGGCAGGAAGTGATTGCGAAGGACCTATGGAGAGAAACAATCACTTGTGTGGCAACAAGGAGAACGAGTCGTTAAAAAAAGGCAAGTGCAAGTAATTAAATGTTAACGGAAGAGTAGTAATACGTTGTAAAGCAGGAGTAATGGTGACTGAAGGAGTAAGAACAACAGTGATAGGCGGAGTGTGAGGATTGTTTGTACTGTGGCATTATATGATATTCTCCAAGAAAGGTCTAGGCGACGACCTTTTTCTGTACAGTTCTGTATTTTGTGTGCCGCTGCCGTGATAGTGAACTATAAATTGACCTCTGTAACCTGTTCATTTCTCTCGTAGCTCACTATTGTGGTTCACTTCATCATCCACTCGCGAGTCTCAACTTTCTCTCGATTATCATCTCGCTTGCCATTGAACATTACTCACCATCTCGCTTGCCATTGAACATTACTCATCCGCTATTTGCATACTGTAAACTCGCAGTGTCATTTTTCTCAACTCTTGGCAAATTCACTTACCCTCGAGCCACCCATTTTACTAAGCTACCTCCATCCTTCGCTCATATTCATGTGTTCCTTTAATTCATATTAATTTCCTGGACCTGGTCTCGCTCATACTTGCGTCTTCTCTCCATATTTCACTGACTTTGCACAGTTTTCACTGCACTTTATTATTTATCTTGCATCAGCTTTGTTAGGATAAGAGTCTTGTTGTAATTATTTTTGCTAATTAGTTTTCATAACCGAAAATACGAAAATCAGCGTAGTAGTGAACTTCGTCTGAACTTCATGCGAGTAACGAAGTTAGAGTAGCTTGCTTCGTTCCGTCGATGTCTCGTTTAAGGAAGTATAATTGCTTTTGGTGCATTTTGTTTGTTATTCTGTAAGTTGCATGATTGGTAAATTAACAGTGTTGCGTAATTAATTTCTAGATAATTATTAAATGTTCTCTAATCATTCAATATTGCAGTACGCGTGTTGTCTCTGACGCGCTTTTAGCTTCTTTCTCAACCACAAAAAATAGTTAGTTGCCATTTATAATAGACTTTGATATGTTTCAAAATTTTTTTAGTATATATGGCATAATTTTTTTGCCATAAAACATTTCTTTCTATCGGAATTAAATTTAGAAGTAAATTTAGCATCATTCGTGCCGTCACTAAATCTGATGCATCTGTTTGTTGCCATAATTTGAGTTGGTTCACGTATACGGAATGAAAATTATATAGTATTTGTGGGTGTCCGTATCACATATTATTCAAGTTGAGAACGATTTTTGTTGGGGTTTTCGTTGCGTCCATTGCCTTCATAATAGAATTTTTCATGATGTAATTTTTCTCGCCTACATCACAACAAGATGTGCGAACTACACGACTCAAAGCATTTCTTCCAACGAAATGGAAGCGCTTTTTACGTCTACTAGATATTATATTATTATGAATTTGTAACACGGCCTGACTATCGTCCAAAATTATAGCAATCTGTACGCATTTTCGATACAGAGATCATGTTGATTTCGATGAATTTTTTTGTGTTTGCCGAAGTTAGAATCAGTCAGAAGTGAGAGTGATGACGCTTTTCTTCATCATCGAAGTTGACTCGTCTCTTCATTGGTTGAATCTTTGTATTAAGGTTAGAGGTTCTTATAGTGACTGCGTTCGTGTGGACAATGCTTGATTTTAGCAGGTATACTTACGTTAAGTTCTGTAGTCTTTCATATTTTACTTTAGATTTGTGAGATTTGTTCCTTCACATGACGCCTTGTTCGCCCTGTAACCGGCTGCTCATCGAAGACGCGATCAAAGAGCTTTAATTGTAACGAAGTTATTGGCTTGACTCATTTCTAGCATGAAGAACGACATTTTGTAGCTGGAGCCGTACAATCCAAACTCCCTTCACTACATCTAGCGGCTGATTTATTGCATGCGATCAACGGTTTAGCTTGAAAAGCCGTTGAAGATTGGATGAGTGAGTTTACAAAATATAAGCTATGTTTGATGGTACTGCTCCTGTTCTGACCAGCGTGCGCGTCTACACATGTAATCAGTAAATGCTGACACTTACCGAACATCGCCATCTCAGTGTAGGCCGAAATTTATGCTCCATTAAGACTACACTGAAGTAAAAAGAATAAAGTGTCGGGTGCCGAATTTTATTTCGATTGCACCGGTCTCGTATTTGAAAGAGCCTGCGTTGTGCCACGTAGATGTTCTTCAGACGCTAAAGAAGTCCCGAATATTTAAAAGCGAGTAGATTTTTTATGTTTAATATTCGGAATTGTCTGGAAATTACACTTATTGAAAGTGTTTTATGTTAGTCAATCATCATTTGGGGCTTATGAACGTGTAGCCTGAAAACTCGGTGAGGAAGCCGGTCTAGATTACTGTGTGAAGGGGCGATTCTGGAGGCAAGTCTGTAGGCTAGATTATGGCCTATGTTTTCTCTGATGTGAAAGTCAATATTATCATTTGTAAATAGTCGGTTCATAAGGAGCTTCATCTCTCTCTGTCATTTAAGTTAAACTCCATCTACAAGGAAGCAAAAAATGATATTTTCTTTCAGTACGTATTTTTTTACTGTCGCTGTGGATTAAAATGTGTGATTTTCGAATAATTTTTCTCCGCCTATTTTTCGGCCTCATATTCCGTGCTAGCATTTGATTGCTGAATTCCGTTAAAATTAAAATTTAAGCTACATATTTATTGTTCGAAAAAATAATTTTGATTTTGGAAGTGAATACTTTGATATCTTTACCGAGCTTCATTAGTTCCACTTCCTAGGTCTGGAACGAACTACGATTGCTTCCACTTTTAATGCGAGCTCTGGCGTAGATCATCATAAGTCCAAGTAACGCCTTTTTTCTATTCGTCCCAGCATCTTTTTCATCATTCTGAGTTATTGCGTTTCAGCAACTGATTTTTTTTTAATGTTGTTGCTCCTATCTTCATCTTCAGTTCCTGTTATTTTTGTCATCTCATGTTTTGTTAGACAGACAAGCGAGCTGTACCATGTAAGGAACTCGATAGTAATTAAATAATTATTCATAATTTTCATATTTGGTTTCATTTTTAGAACCCCAATTTGTTTTTTTCTTCTCTTTATTCATCATACTTTGTGTATGAATGTATAGGGAAAGGTAATCCGGCAATTATTACTATCACTTTGATTTTTCTTTCAAGAGATACCACAGGGCATGTAAGTTTGGCTCTTAATTTAAATTAACAACTACAATTTTGTGGTCAGTCACAATAATTACTTGAAAGATGATTAATAGGCAGTTGTGCGCCTGTGTCAGGAGGACAATTCTGGACCAATTTTTTTTCTTGGAATTCTTGCAATAAATCATCAGCACGTCTTTTGGGTGATGAATGCTTGCATCAAGACGGCAAAAATTAATAAGTGAGACTTGGACATTGATCAATGGGAGATCAATGATGGGGAAGAATTGTTACGTGAATTATTGTTCTATTTTTAATGAATCGTCGCGGATAAAATTATCTGATGTTGGAAAGATGAGTTCGGTCTCAAGTAAACAATTGAATAATTGGAAACGGCGTCAACTATCAGAGGTCTATAAACTGAAGTGCTAAATGTTTGTAACAAATTTCGGGTTGCGGTATGGAATTTTTATATTTATAACCTAATTTAGTCCTCTGGGCTCTGAAGTTATGGTTAGCAAGTGCAAAATGAAACGCGAGCAATAGGCTCGCCTTGCAACGATTTGTTATCCTCTAAACTTTTTGAGGCTGAATACTCATTCGATCAAATTTGATTACACTTCATCCCGATGTTACTTCGTGATATCAAGTTTATTTTAGTAGAAATTTGTAAAATAAATCAGATTCCATTTCTCGTGCATTTAAGAACTGACTTTTTGAGGATGGTATACTAGAAATTGCACCGCAAGTGTGTTGTGTTGTTGGTGAAGCGCATTACTTGCACGAAGCAACGACGAGCAATGGCCGATGAATATTTAAAGAACTAGGTTTATTCACGTAGAAAGAGGTGTAGAGAGAGATGTAGCCTTGAGTGGTACATTTTTGGCTACTGCTGTATAGTATCATGCCGCTTGTCATCCTTATCCTGCAGTGCATGGAAGCTTCCATGATAAATTTCAAGTGATGCAAAAATGACGTTTCTGTCTCTGTATGTAGAAATCCTGGCCGGATTAACATGTAAATTTACTAAATCCTAAAGTCACGAGTTTAAAAATTATAGAATCTGATGCAGTTAATAGGGTTATTTTCGAAATATATTTGAACGCGAGGGATAAAACATTTAGGCTTGTAATAAAGGAACTAGTATTTCGAGGATTTTAGTTAAAATGAAAACTTCTAGTTTCTATTAATTGTATTGGTGATGATATTAATAGTTCAGATTGCCTCTAGTGAGCAACTGCTGTGAACATAACCTCTGTGATGGTCTGATAAATAGTCGTCGACATCACTGATACTTTCTTAGTGCGTCAGTGCCCAGTTTGTGCTTCAGCGCATCCTCATCAGTATAAATCGGCAATCAATTGGTCAAAGCAATTATGTGCTCATGGTATAAAACCGCTTATTTTTTGTTATGTTGAGTTGATTTTTCATCCGCTGGTTTATTTAAGAAATGAAAAATTCTAAAAATCATTCGTTATTGGTGTTCGGTAAATCATGCGTCATTAGTGTACGGTATGCACTAAAATATTTATTGGAGTGAATCTGTATTTACTAGGATTACTCACGAGCTTCAACTAACTTGAGCACAGGTGAATATTTTGCATTCAAAATTACATTCATATTGCTTATATGCGTGCAAAATAAGTTGTAAAGCTCAGTCTGTTGACGGATAATTGGTTTACGGTCACATGACGTAAATATTTTACGGACGTTGGTTGAATTTTATACAAAGATTTAACTTATTGAAGAAGTTACGCAACTGTCGTCAGCGAAGCAAAATCAAATGATAACTTTGTCATGGAGATTTACTGAGCACTCCATGGAGATTTACTGAGCACTCCTGTCACGTTGTGGTACTTATGCGCATGTATATAGATCATCGTCCTCATTCAATGTAGACAATATAGCGACACCATTTATCCCAAGCCTTGTAAAAAGCACCCATGGTAAAGAACTTAATAACATTGATTAACTGTTTTATGGTAACTCAATCACGGATAAGATTAATGATGGCTTTGTGTGGTACAGTTATTTATTTAGAAAAACAGATTATCCTGCGTGGATAATTTGGATCAAGTCTTTTGGTATTTCCAAAATAGTTGAATTATCAGTCAGTCTTCGAACTGTCGATGAACTTAGTGATATTGGAATGCTAAAAGAAAACCGTACTTGGGTAGCTCGTCGATATAAAACTTGAATTTAAAAGGTTTTGGCGAGAATATTACCCAACTAGTGAAGTATTCATTTATAATGAATTTACTTTACCTATAAAATGATCATAAATGTTATTAATGTCGAGTTTACACGCTGAGAGCTTCTCTGAAGATTGATTTCTCATCAGTTGATTTATTAAAACGTTTAATAAAAATGTAGTTCACAAGAAAATATACGCTAATTGTTAGTGCTTACTGATTGAGATTCGCGTCTTTAACCATGTAAATAAAATCTATTGTTAAAACCTTAAACCTCATAAACATTGATTCCGTCTTTCAACTTTAGCATTAGGTAATAAAAAAGCACAAGCTTGCAATATAAGTTTCTGGCAACCTTCATTGAGTGTTGAAAAAATATTTGAAGTGGTTTAGAAGTTACAACTCCGCTGTTTAGAAGAGGATTTGTTGTCGAAATGGGAAGCGCATTTCATAGTCGCGGCAAATATCGATAAGTCGAATGTATGGAATTAGTTCATCTTTGTTTTTGATTAATTTGTATAGTGAATTCAATAGCAATAATCATTATGAACATAATCGGTTTTCATGTTTATTTATAAGTTTCCGATCGGTTTATAATATTCCAGAAGATATTCTAGCTTGCAGACTTTAGTCCCTTGCTGTCAGGGGAAGAAAAGTTTAATCACAGTTAATCTGCGCTTGCATCGTTGACAATTCAAACTGGCATTAATTATTGTAAAATTTAGTTTAAGTTTCTTAAAAATTTTATGAGAAGGGTGAAGGATTCAAGGACTTACGTATTTGATCTACAAAATTTGTTCTAAAAATTAAAACGTTGCATTTTTTTTTCAAATTGTCAATGCAAAATTTTTCCGGGTTATTTTTTTTCACATGAGAATTGCGATTTAGAACTTCATGCTTCAATTGATTATTCAACTTGAATGTTTGTTTTTTATCCAAAGTAATTTGCATATGTTCGATTGCCCCATCATGATAACTTGGCTCCCAATAACGAGATAAGTGGACGTTGACCAGCAACAATGAACTGGTAATTTTTTGGACGCTTCTTGAAACTAACGCAAAGTGTACATATTTTTGCGCTGCAAGCGTGGGCATGGAAAAATAACCCTGCTCTTTTCTCGTGCATGGAGATTTGTGCGTGGTTCTGTACTGATAATTAACCTATAATGCGTGCTCTTAGCGAAATTAAGATTTGTGCTTAGCCAATAAAATATATGTGTCGAGGATCAACGTAGTTTGTAATAAAATAAAGTTTTACATGTTTCCTGTTTATTTTCAACACAAATTTCTTCAAATGGATGAAAAAAGAAAATGAATTCGATTAAACTTAATATCTTACTGGAATAAAATAGCGCCTGGAGACCACAAACAATTCTTGTGACGTTCTGTCACCTTTTAGTAACTTGCTCCTATTTTGCGCTCATTCAAGCAACGAGAAAACCAGGATTAGAAGGTCATACATTACTTCTTTTCTGAGAATCCAATGCTGCAACACTGGATTTATAGCCTTAAAATCAACAAAAGGAGTCTTGTTCTCGATTTTTATTTCAATTCACGGCTTAGTTTTCTGGCAAGCAGAGCACATCGCTCTCAGAAAGAAGTCTGCCGCTGGGGAGCCTCCAGGAGCCTTCAATGCAGAGCACCATGACGCGGTCCAGGCCTTGCTGCGTGCGGTGCCCGGGGTGACACTCGAACTTCATCCTCTTCAGGGTCCCGCCCAGGGACGCGTGAAGGTTCCGGGCGAAGCTAAGACACAGGATCAGTTGTTGAGATCATCTAATGTCACGGTAAATCAATTCAGACAATATCACTTGTTTGTGATTTTTAAAATTATTCAAAATCAATTGTCACTAAAATATGAATGCTACAATAAAAGCATCAAGTATTGGAGCCAATGTTATGAATGACTAAATTTAGTTGTATAAGACAATAATGGTTATCATAAAAAGGCTGACGGAATTCGCACGGTGAAATTGTCATTCTCTCTATGAGGCCTTCCTAAAAAAGGAAAAATTAAATGCATTCCATAACGCGACTTATCACATTTAGTTACCTATTGGCCGCAATCCAGAAAAATGAATTATATTTCAATGGAAATTTTTTTCTTCAGAAAAGGCTTACTTTCTGTGTTGAATTGTAGGTATTTGCATTGAATATGAAGCTGAGAGCGATTTGGTTACTTCTACAACTGGAAATTACTTACAACATAGTAACAATTTTTAAACTAAAACTGTTTATGAGTAAAAGGTACATTATTAATGGCCCACAACGCCAAGTACTCCTGCAATTCCTAGGATAAAAAGAAATTATTTGTTAGTCGCACCGAGGGTAAGTGCACGAGTTGACTTCACACGTAGGGCCCCAGTAGCCTCGAGGGCAGCTGCATGTGTTCACGTAGACACACTCTCCTCCGTTGCGGCACGGTGGACTGCAAGAGGGAACTGCGAGGTTGGTTGTGTCCACACCCGACGCGGGGCGCGGCACGAAATGTGGACTGGGTGCGGTCAGGTCGTGGGGGCGGCCTGGTTTGTTGCTGGCAGGGGGGAGGGTCTGTTGGTCGCGTTCTGGCGTCGATCGAGGTTGAGGATAGAAAATTATTATTTTTTATTGTTTGGTTTACCGTATTCACGCAATTTCATGTGGATATATAAAACTTGATTTAATCCATCCGTGACGCTACATCTTTCTCACACACACAAGTAAATGAAGTTAAGTTTGAAAGTTAGTACAAAATTTTCAATAAATACATATATACTTCCCAAACGCTGGGAGGAGCAGAAAAAATAAGTATTACTGCGGTATATACCATATTTTAATATTTGATTATATTATCTGCAAAATAATTAAGACTATCAAGGCAGGAGTCGAAAGCAAACAAATTATTCTGACAGATTACCTTTTTCACAAGTGACTTGATCGACACCCAACAGGAGACGACCGTCAGGATAGAACCAACTGTTGTCTCGATACTGCAGAGTCACCGACGTCGAACCATCGGGCATCCTGGTCCCTGGCTCGCATTCTATCCGCCGTTCATTATCCCTCTGTAATGGAGTCATTATTGGTTGGGGCATTCGTATTTGATTATTTATTATATTTGAATTTTAATCTGATATCCGGGGCAGCGAGAGAAAAGGATTCAAATTCAAACTCAAGTAGACTGAAGAATTTCTATCATGTGATACTAATTGTTCTCTATACGAGGCTAGTAAACTGCACTGGTGATGCGTGAACCTTGTGACGTATAAATAAATTAGAATATTAAATCATATTGCAATCTGAAAATTTACAGGTCGGCAAAAGCCAAATTCAAGCCAAAGCTTTAAATATGTTTGTTGATCGCCAATACTGAGAATAAATATAATAATGCTGATCGTAAAAATCGAATTAATACGTGAACTGAATTATGTTCTTTTTTCGTAGAAAATACAACCATCTATCGTAGAATACAACAAATCAGGAAAAAAAATACTTGTGAACGTGGGATTTATTATTACGAATTACACAATTCAGTCCTCGAAATATTTTTTAATCGATTAATTGGAATAGAAATTACGAAACTACTCACCAGCGGAGCCAGTTGATAGCTTCCATACGGCTGGTCTCCCAACATGGGCTCCTCGGAGCATGTGGGGCCGCTGTAAATTCCAGCGCACGCGCATTTGTTGGGGGCGACACACGTGCCGCCGTTCTCGCATGCCGCTTCGCATGTAGCTGCAAATAATGAATGTATTCAGGAGTCATGCAGTTAGATTTTATAAAATTTACCGTGAATTAAAAAAAATTACATAGGTAATAAAAAATTAAGAAATCAAGAAGGAATCGGATATTACCAGACATTTATCGCAAAAAAACTTGAAATTTACAAGCACATCAATGCCACATTTTAACTGGAGGACTCGCTGCTGTACCAAGAAAACAAATGAGACGAATATGCACATCACCAGTTCATCAAAAGGCTGACATCAAATGCCTATTAAATAAATCGTGTAAAATAGTGAACAAATGATATAAAATTCACACTGAGGTACACACGGGAACAGATTGTCATCTCCGGGGTCCACTTGCGGTCTCTGAATCTAAGCTCGCCGCTGCTGTGGTCGCAGTCCAGGATCACGCGGTCGCTTTGCACCGTCTCCGTCTGGATGAACTTGTACCCTGGGTTGCAGCGCAGTCGGCACCCGCTGCCACGAAAGTTTCAACCAAAATATTTAGCATTTCATCTTGAATAGATTATGTTTATCTCACAAAAGAATTTATTATAGCTAAATATTTACCTTGTGTGAGCTTTCCTAATAACCTTCATGTCTCTAGTGAAGTGTGTGTCTTGTTCTGCATTTTAGAGCATAAATCAGTAAATTTGCTTAAGTGAAGTCGAATTTTGTTCAGCGTGTTGCAACAAATGATTTTTAAGAAAAATCTACAAGCTCATATATAACATTGAATTATAATAATATCTGAAGTATAAAGTCACAAATATGGGTACATGGATCAAAATTGTGACGGATTTACTATGTGAAACCCACCCACCTGTAGGCGCATACCGACTGGCCGTTGGCGATCTCGTGAATGTCGATGCATGCTGCAATATTGTACAAGGTTAAAATATTTCGCATATAACATAAATTTTGATATGAACTTATGAAGGCTACTAATTAAGTAAATGTACGCCATTGAATATCAATGAGTAACTTGTTACAGCCCAACGTATTCCTAAAAAAAAGAATATTTGTATTAATGTCAGCAAAAACCATCATGGATAGTAGAATTGATGGGCCATACATTTGCAATAATACAAATGTTATTATCAGGCTATATTTTAAAAATACTTTTTTTTTCTAGCGTTAGCTAAATAATTAATGATCTGTCGTTCAGAGAAAAAGCTTTAGCCACACCGGAAGGTTGCTTTAATGTCTCCTAGTTTGAGTATTAAACCTACTTTACAACGCCAGAACCTCGTAGCGAAATAACTTTTTTGTTACAGCGAATAATGAATATATTCGCAGTTAAAATGAATATTCTAAGTCTTTTAATTGTTTGGAATTGTCGACGAAAAATCTAGCTTATTGAATACCGGCATTTCTTTTCACGTTACTAAATCATAATTTTAGAGACTATACCATGTAATTTATTTAGGCACAAAGTTTTTCTCATGACTCACATTTGAATTGACTGGCTGGCCGGGCGTTGGTGAATGGATCTGCTCTGCCTGAGTTGTAGCCGACGTTAGAGTGAGCGCTGTACTGACGCCGGTGTCGTCTCAACCTAAGAGAATATATATTTAAATATATACTATAGGAAAGAATTTAAAAAGAATATATTGAAATCCTTTACTATAACTGATTGGAAAATTCTACCGCTACTATGCCTGAAACGGGTGGGAACTTGAAAGATGATTGTGTATATTATATAAGTACGTATTTAAATACTAGAATCAACTCTGTAACCAGATAACATAGTTCAAAATGCGTTCACAGAAGACATCCTGGAATAAATAAATTATTTTTTCAAATTAATTAGTATTAATTTGAAAATCACATGTCGCGAAATCAAAATTATGAATAAATTGAGTTGTGATATCTTTTGCACCCACCTTCCTGCATCGCTGGCACTGCAGGTCGCTACTGCTAGCAGCAAGAGCAAATATTGCCTAGGAAACATCTCAGCCTGAAAAAAATTTCATGTTACACAAATCAAAAATAAATATTCAAATATTTTTGAAAATTAGTATCAATTATCCATGAATTTATTGTAAAATTTCTTTATTTATTTCATATTTCTAGACAATGATATCGAGTTTTTGTTTTACGCTAATCAGTAATAATTTTTGGAATGAAGAACATTAATTATTATAACAATAATAATTATAATAGTTTTCATGAAACGAAATACAAAATTTTATGCAGATTAACTATCTACGCTTCGGTTCTGATGCATGAAGGCGAACTATAACAAAACTTTATCGTTAAAATAACTTCTTTGAAGACGACCATTCGAGCTGACAAGTACTGACGAAGTGGTTGACTCGAATGGCGGCAACTTAGACCGCATTGCAAAAGAAGTAAATTTCTAGTTTTTCGCACTGCTGAGTGCAAAAAAACTATCGCGTTTCCTGGGCTTTGATAACATTAGTGAACGACCGTTAGAGTGATACCGACTGAAGAAATACTGACAAAAGTTGTTGGAAAAACACGATTCATATCCCGAACCATTTTTGAAATTTCTAAAACTATTTGCACGTGCCACTCCAAATTTTTAGGTGTCTTTGATATTATTATTTAGTTAATATTGAGAAATTGGCAAGACGGCTGGGAAATATGTATAAAAGTCTAATGCGGTATTAGAAATTATCGGGCATTGCTTGAACTTAACACCCCTCGATCCTGTGTTAAACACGTTTGTTAGAAAATTCTTGTAAAGTGACAAACTGATGAGACATAAGTATATCATAAAATGCAACCTTCCATTCTGATTGCGATATACCACCGTTCAAATGAAAAAACGCTTGTTTTACACCGAAAGATTTACATCAGTCGATGGAATAGAACTCTAGCTTTAAATCCGGACCCCATCACCGTGGTGATAGGACAAGAAGTGTCCTATGGAGAGCCTACTGCCTGTATTAGTACCTCTGCCAGCGTACCTACACTGACGCACGTTTCCTTGCGCAGCGTAAACATGACTCCTCAACGATGACGCTCAGGAGCGGTACGCGCGCATGACGCACCTAGCATTGTTGTGCGTATAACGTCACCCAATTGTTCGAATCATTCATGATTTTTATTGGTGGTCATTCAGTGGCCGACGATAGGCCATCGATGTTGACAGTGCGATTCTTGAAATGGCAGGCACTCCCTAGCGCAGTAGGCAGCCGCCAAGAATCGGTATTGGGGCCTGAGGTCAGACTTCAGCATTTACAGCTAACAACTTTGAAGGACACTTATTTTAGCAGAATGAAATGGTCAACAAACTCGACATATGGGCTCTTTTTAATTGAATTTATGATTAAAGTTATTTCTAAGTCTCTCCAATTCATTGTTCATGATTTGCAGTAAATATAATAAGATCTTCCCTGAGTGAAGCAAGGTAAAAATTTTCGAAAGCATCGTGAGTGGTGTGATAAAATAAAACCTATAAAATATATATATATATATATATATATAATAAAATATATAAAAATATATTATTTAGGTAAAATATGCCTCATGCGCGTGTTTTCAGGGAAAGAGAATATGCTTAAAAAACCTGAATTGCATACAAGAACATCGACGACAAATGAGGTCAGACTCGTAGCTCTTACTATTTTCCTACATTTACTATGCATTTCTGATAGTTTTAAATTTTCATATCATTAAAATGAACTAAATTCATACAATGATCATAAAAAAGTAAGAATTGAATTTCCTGTGAATTACACAGCAGCTGTCAAAGTTTTTCTTCTACTGTATTATACAGAATTAAGACGGATTGAGTTACACAAAAATAAATCAAAGTTACGTTGCAAATTGAAGAGACGGAGGTGCATCGCTGAGGTCCGTGCATTAGTTGGGTTGGACCGACTTACCCGACGACAATATGGCAACCTGTCCTTGGTGAAGTAAGTGCGAGAAATTGAAGGATCTGTCACTTATTTTGTGAGGAAAATAAAAAAATTTTACTAGCCTGTACCAGGGTAATTCCCTCACTTATATCCTTAGGAACTGTACTTATGAAAATTTGTTCCGTTTATTGACACTTGAATGACTCTAGAAGAAGTTGCACTCTGAATACATAAACTGCAATTCACGCGAAATATTTTTTCATCCAAAAAAATGAGTATGATTCTGTTACGCTGGAATAAACGGAATATTGCTCCGATTATGATGTTGGGCAATAAAACAACGCTTAAACAATTATAATCAACGATGTATTTTGCAGTAAAGTGCTTTTTCTCGCAAAACAATATTGTTGTGGTATGCGCTATTATTCACGCCGAGTGCGATAACTATTCTCACAATTTATTATTATTAAAATAAGTTGATCCGCAAATTACGAAAGTATTCAACGAAATAATATATTGTATCACACGTTAGTAATTTACTTATGTAGTGACTAATGCAAAATTACAGTCTAAAATTTCATAATGTGGGTGAGAAGTTCGCAAAGTTCAGAAAAGAGTGTGGGAGAAGACGCTTGCTAGCTCCGTGACCTGACATGACGTAGGCAGTCGGGCGGAGCGCACAGAGTGCCCCGCATTATTACGTGGCCATACGCAAGCCAGCACAAGCACAAAGGAAGATCTTTTATAATTTATTTCCTAAGAAATTGTGTCATGAGCAACAATTAAATACATGTGTTGTAACAACGAAGGTTAAAAATAGTGCATTTGGTTTTATCCGCATTTGAAATGTTATTTGCAACGTAAACTCTTATCTTTGAATAAGATAGCATTTTACGATATTGGATTAGGATATGCAATTTTGCATCGTCCTTCAATCATTCTTGCCTTAAAACTTACTGCCTAAAAGATTCGATAAAGGTTCGAATACGTTACCAAACCCATAAGACGAGTGGGGTTTAGTACGTTCAATACCTCTGAACGTAAAAAAGAATTAATGTGTCTGGTACTTTAAATAAAAATTCTCTTACGAAACATATGAGAGTAAAAAACCATAACTGAGGCCTCGATGACGTCACCACACCCATAAGATGGGTGTGTCGCACCCCTCACCCGCCTCAGGGATGCTCACAGTTTGAGATCCTAGCCGGAACCAGGCTACGCATCATTATAAATAGGCCTGGTATGAAGTGCGCAAAGAAAAAATCAGCGAACTCAAGATTTTTTTACTGCATCTATATAAAAGTTTGCTGTGCTTTTCAATATGTAAAATTAAATTGCGTGTAATAAACAATTTATATGTTTCGCCTCTCATCTGGGTTAAGCTGACTCCGACCCCAGCTATGAATGGTTGTATATGCAGCACAAAAAAACCCTCGTTTTTACAAAACAATTTTGAATTTCGTTTTAGCGAACATTATATTATAAAGTGGAGTTTCATATTGAGTTTCTAATTAAGTGTCATTGTGTTCCAACATAAATTTTAATCCCTTATCTGCACAAGTAGCTATATGTGTATACGATTAGTCATCTGAACATGTATATGTAGAATGTTGATAACTGGAGCACGGTACTCAGTACTCACGTTTCTGTCTGACTCATATCCCTACTTATAGATCACGAACGTGCCATGATGAACAAATGCAAGAATCTGTTCATTGAACAGGATGTTAGTTGACGCTGTTCGTTGTAGAAAATGTAATGCGCGGAGGAAACAACATCAAATACTCAGGCTAGTCATCTATGAGAACGGATGCTGCGCGCTGAAAGGTAAGATAAAAGTTATCAGTAGAAATTGATCCTTTACCTTCATTAATTTTGAATATCCTTAACTTTTATTATTGAGTATAATTTCTAACAGTAGTGTCTTGACCGTTGTTTTTTCAATATTATAAGATAAAAATAATTTAATATGTGTAAAAAAAACTTTCCAAGGAGCCTGCACAATTCCTGATTAAGGCGTATTTTAACTGAGATTTTCAAACAGAAAGTTTATTACATTGGCCAACTCCCCTAACATTATAACAACAATGATATGTCTGAAATATTTTGGGTATTCTTGAAGCACGGCTTGTGAACCCAGCAATGCTCTGGAGATTGTTTGCGCTCCAGTTACATGCTCGTTGGACCATTTACAGGAGAGGCGTAGACCCTAGAGTGATGAGGACGTGCAATAAACGAAGCTGCTGCTGAAGAGTCGCGATTTGACAGGCAAGTCAGATTGAACTTTGCCGTATGTGATTCTTACTCACCAACACGTCACCACTCCTATAATTATAGTGAGTGAATTTTTCTAGTTGGGAGATTTATTCACAGTTTTCATGATTAATTTATTTGAGGCTAGCTTTCGACACGGACCGATGCAACGATCGAAGTGCTCCTGCATGATTCCAGTATGTATTAATAATTCTATTAATCACTTTATCTTGGTTAAAATTTGTTGCCGAAGCTGGAATACTTGTAGAGTGTCACTTCAACTTATCAACAGTTTTCACTAATGCTGCCTTTACGTTAGGCTACGTGCAGTACTTCCAGCATCAGGAAATATAAGCTACGTACACATGGGGCCAGAGGCAACCTGTACCTGCGGTCATACGTAAGTGACCTCAACTAGTTTTACGGGCCGTCAAACAAATACTAGCGCACATTAATACCTTCTTAGTATGAGATGGCATAATTTGTTTCGTTGAAGACATGAAAATGAGTTTTATTTTTATTTTTTTTGTTGGCTTTCTCAATAAATCGAATTATATCTTTCGTAAGCTGTAGTTGATTGAAAATTAAGTTACCGAAAGTATTTTCTCATCTGTGGCTCCAGTCGTTCCTCAGTGTGTTGTTGGATGCTGTAGGAGGCCTGGTCAGGTGACAGCTTCAGTCTCTAACATTCAAATTTTGCATACCAGTCACAACAATTCATTCACTACTGAAGTCAACTAATCAAGTATTAGTTGACTACTATACCACATACAGACTACTCTTACAAATTGATGATTACATCCATGTGGCCTCGCCGCCCACAAAATTCAATCATAATTATCAAGCATCACTAAACTTTGGATTTATTGACCTCCACTCGCTACTGGCATCTGGAGCAGTTAGTTCCCTTATGTAAACATGAGGTTAGTGACCAAAACAAGTGAGGCATATTGACCGTCACTACACTGTTCGAAGAAAGGGTGAAAAAATGGTCGGACTGGCGTTTTAGTGGATGCCCGTCCCGTGAAAATCTACCACGTGTGTTCAAGCTTCATTTGTTAACTTGAAAAAATAAGGCAATGTGGTTTCATATCACGGGGCGGCCGACCGCTGAAACGACGGTCCAACTGTTTTTTTGTCGTTTTTCTTGAACAGTGAGGGTACTGGTGTCATGTGCAAGGGCCAATATCTGACATGGTTCATGTCAATGAGGTCGTCTGCAACGATAAGGCCATCCGCTGCTATGTATGTCCGGCGAAATTTCGCAAAGTTCAGCGAAGCCGTTACAGAAAGACGAAGCCTCTGCCGTTTCCTGTAGCATAACCCGCCCAATTTTTGGCAGTATTTGTGATGCTAAAAATGATAAAACTCAATTACTTGGAATATGTCATGTATTGAATTTGTAAATAATAAAACATTCAAAATAGGTAGGCATAGGTTTTCAGAACTTTATTCATATAATTTATAATTCGCATCTATTTCTTCAAACTGTATGGAAAGTTTTATTTTTATGATAAATTTGACTCTCATTCTGCTATATTTATCTATTTTTATTCCAGGTAAGAGGGCAGATAGTAAGTTCGAGTCAGAATATCCCAGTTGGAACACCAGAGCGAAACAACTACGTATCATCGCAGGATGTAAGTCAGACAACTGTTATCAGTAGTGAGCAAATTTCTGAAAACTGCATGCAAGATAAAAATGTGTTTTGAATAAAAAAACATCACTGTGCGCGTTCAATATTCTAGCAGTGAAGGATGGACCCCAGATTCACAAATTAAATATTTATATTTATCGTTTTTCGTAATGCTCTTCAATATGCCGATATTGAGGGATAAAGGAAAACTAGACTATTATACTAATAACTGGTAGTATGAAAAGTCTGCGCGACAATCACATTCATGATCAGAGAGGCCCCGACGTGTATATTTCACTTTATTAATAATGGCATTATTTATGACATAATATATCAAAAGAGTCGAGAAAGGTTGCATATAACATGCATCCCTGTCATGTCACGTCATGTCTGGAATGTCGCTGACAAATGCCAGCAAGAAAATAAATTTATTCATGTGACCTTATAATGGCTGCCATCATGATTGGTTCCCATTTTAAACGCCCCAGTAATTCCCTTTCATTTTTAAGCCTATAATTTACATGGATTGGTGCGACGCCTTGTCTCATTACTTATGCAGACCACACGCATTAGCCGCCTAAGTGCAGCTCTCTTTTTACCTATGAATTTAATTTAAAACATTTTTGGTTTCGAAAGGTTAACTTAATCTTTTATGAACTAATTGAATTATGGGCCACACGCCCAAACTCAGTAAATTCACGTTTCTACAGCGGTATAGGTTTAAAATTGGATGATATATTTTTTATTCGTAGCAAGGTTTAAAATGTTCCAAATCAAAGCACCAATCACATTTTTGAATTTCGCCAGTATTTGATAAAAATAATTTGTGTATTTCCGTTTTTTTTTTCAATACAAAAATTATTTGCTGAAAGGAATTAAACTGTTTAATTCTGCAATATTCCTACGGCTGAGTTTTCCTAGTTTTCTGACCAGTAACTGGAAAATAAGAATTTTCTTCCTCACGAATAAATGAATTTATTCACTGTACGTGTTTTTTTTAATTTTTATTTTTGTCATAGCAGGTAAATGAATGAGAAGCCACGTAAATTTTTTGCCTAAAAAGTGCGATGCTCCAGAAATACACTGACAGGCATCGAAGTTCACACAACTCACTTTAATGTAAAAGTAAGTTTGTACAACAAAGTACGAGATAAATTAACCCACTGCAATAAGTGGAAGGTAGAAAAATATTTATTATCAATATAAGAATTATTTTACTATCGAAAAGTGATCGGAATAAAACGACGAAACATTATTTAATGCATTTATTCAAGTACAAATTCACGAAGAAGACATTATAATAGGAATGAAATGAAGATAAGAATGAATTAATATAAATATTGAAAGTTGCACGACACGTGCAAAATCAAAGGGCATATTTATTAGAAAGTATGTATTTTAAAGTTATTAAGTTTCGGGTTAAGAATAAGAATTAGCGTCAGAATGTCAAGAAAGTGAAATCATTTTTATTCACGCTCCTCATCTTCGATCGTTCGAGTCGATATGCTTGTTTCAATTTCATCGGTTGCGGTTCGGGTAGGCATAATGAAACTTTAAACGTCCGGCAGTAAAACGCTCCTTATTAATTATAAATCACAGAAAATAATCATTTGCGGCTTCTTAAAGACTTTTCAAAATCATCAGTCATTCTGAGCGGCAGTGATAACCTTTCGTAAAATCATTCCTCAATTATATGTGGGTCGGCTGCCACTGCCAGTTCTGAATCCCTGTTCATCGTAAAAGATTCCCGACGCTTCTTCTTGGCGAGCTTTCTCGATCTGCTCGATGGCGTGGCGAGGCAGGGGGTGAGGTTGGGGCAAGAGTGGAGACTCCACGCGGTAGCCTCCTTCGTCCGCCACGAAACTGAACTGAGCCGGAGTGCCGTCCGGGAACGTGAATCTGAACGAAAATTCGAACAATTTTATGCACCATAAAATATTTACCAATACATTTCGTTGGAGATAAGGTGGAACGCATAGCAAGAGAGCGCTTATAACGTCATCACTACACTAAATTTAAGGTGCTTTTATCTGAAAAGTAGGAATGCAAACTTCTAAAATGAATTCCGTGCGATTTAATTTCAATCAATTGGCACTAAGGAAACTTACGTCCATCCTCCCTGAGAAACAACAGCTCCATTAGGTCCCGACGGGCTGCCCTGTTCGTTGCGTCGGATGCCGTTGCCGGTTTCGAATTCGAAGTTGTAGGCGCCGTTGAGGGGGCCGCTGCTCCGCTCGCTGATTATTGGGATGATTTCGAAGGGGCCAGACAAGCGGTTGTAGTTCTGAGGCGCGCACATGGCGGCCGACACCAGCGAGAGGAGGATTACGTACTGCAAAATATTGTTAATTTAGCGTACCTTTCACCTGCCACTACCCAAGTTAATGCACATAAATTAAATTACTCTATGCACTATGCTACAGATCAGCCCCCTTCGCCACTCCTATCAGTAGAAACAGAATCAGTAGAAATTGAATACCAATTTCGATGTTTTGTGAAGTAACGGTCGCTTGCATCAGCGTGTTCCCAGGCTAAAAATGATTTTTAACAAATTTAAATGATATAACATTAATTTAATACCTAAAAGTTGACTTCAAAATAAAAAAAATCAGTTGTTAGCCCAGTACCAGAAAAATGATAACAAAAAATAATAGCAAATTTTACATAAAGTTGACATTGGTTGAAAGTATTAACTCGGGGCTACTTAGGTAATACATTAGTCTGTGCTTAAATGCTATGGTATAACTAAAATAATAAATATATAACGCATTCGCTTAGGATTACAATAGAAACTCACGGAGTTCATGCTGTCTGATGTGAAGGTCCGCGTGCACTGCATGATCCCTCTCGGCGGCAAGGCCTTTTTATCATGCCAGGGAGGAGCTGCCTGCCCAGACCCCGATTGGAAGCGCTTGCCTGCTTTCACTTGAGCCGCGACGCTGGCTTACCCCAACCGTGACCGAAGTGCCCGACTTGATTTTTATTATTTCTGATTGTCGAGGTCACGGAATTAAAACTTTTATGAATTGAGTTTCCCACGGAAAATTTTGGGTTCAAATGCAATTGGTTAGATTGTCGTTGTCACAGAATTATGAATTTTATTGTAGGTCTTTGAATTACCGAATAGTTTCGTGTAATTTATCTAAAAGCATTCGATTGTTCATTAAAAAGTTCATTCATTCGCTTTAAATCTATTTAAATATGTCTGGCATAAGAAAAGATGAGCTAGTGTCACTGTGCAACGTTTGATATTCTAGAAGCGTATATTTTCTAGAATATCGGATGTTCAAGCATTAGTAGATGTCAGAAATTCTTGAATACGTCGTGTCTGCAACGAATATAATATTTATGAGGTACTGTATTTTGAATGAGTCGAATATTCTTTTGTTAGAAAATTGAATGAATTTATTATTTAACTTCTTTATGCAGTGGATACAATATTTTTAAGTCACTGTAATATTTAATTTAATAATAAATCTTTGACTTGAAGAAGGGTAAATGTCTTCAAAATTAAAATATAACTAGACGAATATTCTGATTTCTGTCTGAGTCCGTGATCAACTTCAGGAATCTCTGAGCCATTAGAGATCAAGGTCGATGTTCTTCGCGCGTGAAAAAAGGATTTCCCTTTCTACCGTGTGGCTTAGGAAACACATTTATTATTCATAAATTTATTGAGAATTTGTTATGTGAAGCTTTTACACTAGCGTTTCGATTAATGGAATCAACACAGCTCCAATGAAATATAATAATTTGGTGCAGCTATCACGAGAATTTCTGATTTTGACTAACAAAGTTCAAGCTTTGGATATCGGAAGTACTTTTTTCTACTTGATTTACAGTTTAGATTCACGTAATGTTTAGTTGCATTCCCATTACATTATAATTTTTGTATGTCTGAACAGAGAATTATTTTAAGTAGATAATGTATAGCTAAATTCAAGCGTTAATTAGCATCGAGGACTGGATTATTATTATTCGATAAAATGAAGAGTCGCACATGAAAGAAAAATAAACCTGAAGGCGCATCAGCGCAGGAGCTAAAACTCCTTTAACTGCAATGACTCAGTAAAGATTTTCAAGGTCGAAGTAATGCCAATGACATCACGTTCCATGAATAACTTTTCGTAACTGTGACCTAACCATATGTGGGTGGTCGTTATGTCACCACCTGACACGGACTATCAGTTCCATAATTATCTATAGCTCATTAAATCAGACAAAAGCCATATCCTTTCTTGAGTCTAATTTATTTTTCTATTCTTCTGTGTCTGGCCAGACGACCTTCTTTTCTAAGGAATCGTAACGTCCATCAATGACCTGACCGACCTTCCCACGAATTCTTCTCCCACATATATAATATCCAGGGATGTTCGATGTCCCCTAGCGCATCTCGCTCGTGATGCTGGAAATTACTGTACGACGATTGCCCTTTGCATGAACGACAGAGAATGGGACATTGTGGAGCAGAGGCCGTGATCCTGTGTCAGGGCAGGTGAACAAAGCGGCGTTATAATCCAGTCTTGTAAGTGCGCTTATAGTTTCAGAAACAAATTGAGATACTGTGAATATATTTTTTAATTGTCATATGAAGAAACCGTTATGCATGGTAAAAACAATGTGAATTTGTTCAAAAAGTTCCAGTTACTAAAGTGAATTTCAATTTCGTTGAATTCCAAATGCCGATTTATATTGTCGAGAAGACAGATTGCGGTGTTGCATCAGTCGGTGACTAAAATCTTACGGAATTTTTTTAATTCTATGCATAACATATAGGAAGCCTAACTCAGTTTTACGAAGATGAAAAGCTAAAAGACTACACTACCATTTTAATAGTTATATTACAGCAATTTTTGTGGAAATAAAATTAAAGTTCAATAGATATAATTCAAAAACCAAATTTTGTTCAGTCATGAATGCGTTTCCGCAGTTGTTGCTCTCTCGGTCGCACAGTTGAGAATAAGATAGTGTGGGCTTTAATATCAAAGAAAATGAGCTGTGACGTAAGGTGTAAACGATATGCTTGTTTGAACAGACCCACGGCACTCCCATGTGCTTCAGAGGGTCATAAAAATTACATTAAAAGGTCATTCAAACTTGTCGGAGCGACCCCAGCCACGTACGCTGCAGCTCAAGTGGTAGGATTTGCCAAAGGATTTGACCAGAGCCTGAAATATATTCATTATTTGTAGCTTGAATAATCTTTACCGTTTCATCTTGAAAGCGTGGAGGCAATAACGTTTTAATAATTGCTCTTGAATTAAACAGTTTATCTTAAGATTCACTGAACAATTTAAATGATTTTGAAACAACGTTCGTTGACTTTTTGTTTCCAAGATGTTCAGACGGAGAGATTATTTATTACCTTTGAAACATAGGCGAAATATTTTGAGCCTTATATTGAACCATAAGTACCATATCATATTAAATTATTTCTTTGTATATTGCATGAAATGAGAAATCTGCCTTCGAATTAATTAGAATTGAATACATTTTGCATCATTCACGTCATACTATTCAAAAAACATTAAATCTAGGTCATGATTCGTACCCGTTTTCTTCCCCCACATCTGAGAGCGAGAGTTACCTGATCCCTGACACCAGATAATGACGTTTGCAAGGCGCATACCTGAGCTCATGACCTCCTCCCTAACTCCGTAGACCGCGCACTCGCACGGTCTCTCAACGTGTCAGCCCGTGTACAACCCGACCTGAGTGCGACACATCGAGTTGAATACAATTCCTTCATACGTTAGATGCAGAAGACCAAAAGTGCCTCACACATTATGTCGATTAGAACGCAAGTCCTTCATACGTTAGATAGAGTAGGACGCAAGTCATTCATACTTTAGACAGAGTAAATCACAACTTATGCAAACGTCAGACCGAGTAGAACACAAGCCTTTCATGCGCCAGACCGAGTAGACCGCATGGTCCAGCATGCGATGGACCGAGTAGAACGGGCATGCCGCATGGCGAGGTCATGAAATGATTGGGTACGGTAGAACCAGCGGAACACGACCGTTCTAGAAAATGCGGGCACTAGCGCATTACAGGATGCCTTAGGTGCAATCGTAGCATGCAGTCAAAGGCGTTTCCTCATAATGCATGAGTGAACAAGGTGAGTAATATGTCACCGGATCAATCTGAGTTAGTGGAGAGGTTTAAGTACTTGATATTTGGTTGAATTATAGGCTCCTTTCTGTGAATGGGATTATAGTTTATAAATCTAAACCGCATTGGGACCAATTGGGAAATTTTCAATTTACATTTCCCATGCATTGCACAAGCTATTGATGCAATGTGGCCTTAAAAATATTCTATTATGACGATCTTTTGATTTTTTATTTTCAAAAAGTGGCATCAATCAGTTATTAGCTAGAAAGTTTTTTGATTGTGAATAAAAATATTGATTTATTAAGTTTTCTTTTTCACCTCACAACTCGAAATATTATTAAACCTGATAGGAGCGCAAATGGGGCGGTTTAAAATTGAAATTACGAACTGTTATTTATGGAATAAATTTATTAAACATAATAAGAAAAGAATTATGTAGTATAAATAATTATGACGAATTATAGTTGACCTCGTTTACGGTAAACGAACTGGCTGTGAAATATATGGCCTGGCAGTTGTGCAGTAATTATAGGGATTACTGCATGAAACGTCAAAGTTGGCATCTAGCACAAAATAATAAGTCTGCGTAAATTATTGAAATTGAAGCGGAGCCTGAAAACGAATATTTTGCTAACGAAAAAATAGAGCTTAATGATAAGTTTTTATTATCAAGGAGATTTCGTCAAGCGCAATTACAACAAAATGAAACTAATTTTGGTTATGCGAACAAATTTTTTATGGTTGTTATTTGATTTCTTTTAATAGAAAAATGTTTCTGCAGAGAAGATACATTTTTCACGTTAGAGTGATTTATATTTAAAGTTTTAAATAATTTCGCAAGTATCAGTATATAAAACTGCGGTTTTGTTTGTAGATTTTTAATCGTTATTTTATGAAAGTCGCCTGGTAAAAAAGTATATGGAAGTCATGCATGTGTTACTCATGGAAACGCATGTGGTGCGATTACAAGATTTTCCTCCAAGAGTTCTTGCACTGAACAAATTCAAATATTATTACATTATGGTCTAATAAAAGGACAAACTAGAGTAAATAATATAATGTGAAGATAATGAAAAATAATTCAATTAGGTGATACAATTCAAATTGCAGTATTTCGATTTTCCCTATTATATGTGAATTATTAATAAAAAGTATTATAATTTGTAAGATGAATTATTAAATAGTGGGAACAACCGAATCATGATTTTAAAGTGCCTAGACCATCCATACTAATAGCATAAAAATGTGAAACTACGTTTCCAGTTTTGAGTAAGCTTCAGAATATTTTCTTGTCTGGTTAGCGTAAAAAAAACTTTCCCGGCAATGTTTTTGGTTGTCGAGTATGTAAGCCACTTGGGTGTGACCAGCTTTAGTCCCAAACCCTGCAGTAAACTCTAATTTTGACTGCAACCGCCCCTTTACGGATCAATGAACACGGGATTTACCTGCAAGCACCAATTTTATTTTAAAATATCCTATCAATTGATCGGTGAACGGGATGAATTAATATTTAGACGAATTTTAATGTTTATTTATATTTAGGTGAAATTTCTTACGGTAAGTGGAGTAAACATATATAATAACCCTCAGTTTAAATAATGGGACTCGAATTAAGGGGATTCAATAATAGGTTTAGTTTAATACCGCCCACCTTGTAATTGCTCCCTAAATGCACAATTACAGCTTCATGATGAGGTTTCATTGAGGTTAGTACCAATATACTATGTCAAACATATTAGTTCGAAGAGTTGGTTTTAAGCC